GAGTGCTCTGCCCACTGGGATGTTTCAGTGCTGTTTGCTGGAGGTGGTGACCATCCTGGCAGGTGGAGGCTGGCTCACATCACCTGGAGCCACCACACTGCTCGTGGCATGTGTATTTCACAGGAGGAGGTGTCAGGCTCAGCAGCTGCCGTTCTGCTCTGCTGCCTACCTGCAGAGCTGGTGGTCCTTCAGCTCTGAGGCAGAGGTGCCAGTTTGCTGGGGAGGCTCTCCTCTCCCTGTGAGCAGTGAGGGGTTGGCTCCCTTCAGTGCCCTACTCCTTCCTGAGTCAGTTTGACAGGCAGAAATGTGAAGTGGGATAAAATGATGACAGCTGGGTTGTACTTTGGAAGCGGAAAGGAAAGAGTTGGATCCATTTACAGCTTGGAGTGATGGAGCTTGAAATGCAACCAATAGCAGTTATTTTACCAGTGTCAGAGTTGAATCAGAAAGGATGGCTTGGTTGGTATAGTTCAGCTGATTGCTGGATATTTTAATCCAGATGATTTTGGCAAGGCTGACCAGTTTTATGCCTGACAATACTGAAGTAATTCTACTACCTTCAGCAAAGTTGCTCAGGATTTATTCTGAGAATGTAGTTGTGTTAATTCATTTTTCTGACTTGATAGGCAAAAATCCTGTGTTGCTGTGACCTTCATGTGAAATGGGATGTCCTTTGAAATAGCCAGGAAAATATTCATTTTCATATGTGCATGTGCAATACTCGTTACCTTTAACAGTAGCTAGGTGTATGTGTGAAACAACATATGAGTGATGTGCTGGGCATCAGTAAAAGAGGGAACAGGGTTCTGAACTCCTGTGTTATTCTTAGGCTGGTGCATGGTTTGGTGTAGCTCCTCTTACTTGCAGTGACAATGAGTAGCTTCTGGAGAGTCTTATAACCAAAGATGTTTCCTTTGATTTGATAATGCCACTGTAATTCTTTCCAAAATTAGGAGAAACTTGACATTCTAGATCAGCTGGTGACCAAATGGCCAAGCATTTGATGTTCCTGGCAGGTGCTCATGGAGGAACTCTATGTCTTACCCACCAAATGTGGTGGGTGTTTTTTTTTTTTTTTTTTTTTTTTTGGTTGTTGTTGTTGTTTTTTGTTTGTTTGTTTGTTTGTTTTTCCTGTCTGCTGTTTCTAAAATATGGAATTTTTTGCTGTAAATATAAAGTTAAAGAGTATGGGTGCTTTTGTGCAGTATGGGAGGGGTTTTTAAATTTGTGGTGGTTTTTTGTTTGTTTGACAAATTCTTACAGTAGGTAAGAGCTACTTTTTGAGTGGCTGACATTTTGTGCTTGAGAAGATATATTTAGATAAATAATTGACTTTTAGTTTCAATTAGCTTTAGTTTCTTTCAATTCCAAAATTCTCTTCATAAATATGGAATAGCAGTGGCATTATTTTTTTTTTAATTGAATGGAAAAAAAAATTGTTTCTAAATTTTCTGTTGATAAGAATTAGTTTCAGAAATGGTTTTGGAAGAATAAAATAATTTCAGATAGTTTTTCAGGTATAATAATATAATTTCCATGTATAATTCAACTAAATTAGGTTGAAAATGAAAACCAGGTGATCTGGCCTTTTATTCTTACTCCCTATAGGTAGGTAAATGTAGTGATCCTGGAAAAACAGTGTTTAGCCAAAATTGGCTACTATAAACAAGCTTTTGCTTATTGCTCTGTATCATTAGTGTTTATTAACCCAACTCACTCCACTGAGATTCAAACTCCAATTTTTCTTCCTAATATTTATATTTTTAATATGAAAATATATTTTAAAACAAAATACCCTTAAAATCATCTGTAATAAATTCAGTTCAGCATAGACATTTCTGATACTCTTGAAGACTTTTTTTTTTACCCCAGGCAGGAAAGTTCAGAGTAGTTGTGTCATATTGAGTGTTTTGTGCAAGCTGTAAAAATCTGTGGACTTGATGTATGCTGACATTGTCCGTAATACAGCTTTATTCACTTCTCTTTTTGCTGTGATGAGTCTCCACTAAATCCTCCAATTAGTGCAAAGTTATAAAATTATAGACAGATGGAAAATTAGTATTTATAGAAAAATGCCCACGGTTTTGATAGCTTGAAACTCTTGCAGCTACAGATGATGTGTTAGCAGTTGAGATTTAGAGAAAGCAGCCTGTTCAGAAAAACATGAAAGCTTGTGTACTTTCTGAAGCAGTAGGTCATCTAGCGATGACCATAAATTTCAGAGTTAGTTTTCTGTGAATTGAAACCATCTGTGGCAAACAGTTTAAAATGAATTGGTTTCTATTGGTAAAAGTTAAGTAAATAGATGAATATACAGAAATTATTTCCTCAAGTGGTCATCAAAATCAAAAAAGCTTGCAAGATCCATCTCTCATCTCACAATTGATTAGAGTTTTGCAAATGCCACCACCTTGACAGACTTGAATAGTGCACAAATCAAAAAAGTTTCAATGAGAGAGAGAAGAGATACCTGTCAGTCAGTGGCCCTGAAATACTGCTGGTCTGATGGTCAGGGGCAGTGGTATGGTTTCATTAATATTGGTCTAAGTCCTGAGTAATTTTCCTACCCTCAGCAGTGTGGTTACTTTGGAAACATAATAATAACAGTAATTGTTCTGATGTTTCACACATTTAAATCTAATAATCTTAAAATAACATCTTAGAAGGGATCAGCATTTGATGACAAAGGAAAGAGCTGAACTGGAGCTTGCTGTATGCTGTCCCTGTATCCAGGTAAACTAGCAACATAGTGCTCTATGAAAGTCTGATTTTCTGGACAGATTTAATTCCTTCCTAAAATTCATAGCATGAAGTGACCTTCAGGATTTTCTCTTAGTGACTTTAATATGTTTTGCTGGTGTGTAGCCAAAATTTTTAATTTCCAAGTGCTGTTCCTTTCTCAAAAGCAAACCTGGTAGTAGACTTGTTTGTGTGTGTGCACACCTATAGCACAGTTAAATTTTAATAAAAGAAAATATCACCACCCTGTTTGGGAGAATATTATTGCTGTATGCACAATGACATGTCATTGCCTGGAGAAGAACATTATAGGTTCGTGTTGAGTCCAAATTGCTCTACATTTCTGTTGTGAGCTTGGGTACAGCCCAGGAAATCTCCACAGAGGGCCTCTGCAGGGCTGTGCGCATGCAGGGGGACTCTAAGAAGTTTTGGTGTTGGGGGAGGAAGAAGAGGTGCACTATAGAAACTTACTGTGTCTGTAACATTCTGTTCCCTGTGTAAGAAGTTTCTCTAGATATCCCTTGCAGGAGGAAGTTGCAAGATTCTCCCATACTTAAATGACACTTTTACTATTTTTCATTTGTGCTACTGATTCTGAATATCCCAAGCCATTCTTGCCTTGTATGATATTGTTGTCTTAAACTTCATGCCACTACTGTAATTATTGGAACAGACCAGGGTTTTATTCAAATTTATGATGCTCTGATAGGAGTAAACCTCTCTACATTCAAGACAAGATCTACTTTTCTGTATTCTTCCTCCTCCTTTCTCCTCCTTTTTATCCTCCCTTCAACTTTCTCTTTTCTTTTCTTCTCCCCTCTTCCTTTATAAAGCAATAGTATTTTATTCACCTGGAGAACTAATATTGTTTCATACATGTCTTGAAATCATTTCACTAGTGCTGCTTTTCAGCATCTTAGTCTTCTAAGCCAGATTGCTGCAAATATGTAATGCAAAGCTATTTAAAAGCTATGGCATGATGCTTCAGATGATTTGTAAAGTTTAAAGTAGCAGGCCATTTGCACAAAACCACCTGTGCATCTCATATCCATTACAAACGGTGAGATCCAGCCACAGCAGAGGTACTTGTGCTCCTGCACGCGTCGCTGCTTCTGGAAATTCCACCCGTGCGCTCGCCTCTCTTCTGCAGCTTTCAGGGTCCCACCTGTGGTTCTCTTTTCAGAGCAGCCAAGTTTCAGGACTTGTGTCACCACTACAGCTGCTGCTTCTCTTCCAAGCTGTACATGGAGAAGTGCAAGTGTGCTTTTGTGGCACTTCCAGGAACAGTATGTCAAGGTTACCAAGTAGAGGGGGGAAAGTCTGCAGTCTGACATCTGAGATCTGCAGTTTTTGGAAAAAGATATTGAAGGCAGAAATGAAGGACAAAAAGGATTTTTCCTTTTTTTTTTTTTTATTTCAGAGGTGACAGCAGAAGCTGGATGTATTATGTAAATATTTGTGGAGAAAGGACAATGAGAAGCAAAGACTTCTCAGCAAAAAGCATGCAGCGACTAAGCCATTGTTTTGTCTGGCAAATAAACAGATACAAACTGGAGGCAAAGCACCATACACTGGGTCTGGCAACATGTACATTGTTGTTAAATATTTGGGGGATGGCAAGCCAAGCGATGATTTCTTCATCTCTTGCATATTTTCAGATAGAGGCTGAAAGCAAATTCTAGAGAATTTACTCTTACAAATAAATACTAATATTTTGGCTTAATGCAGGAATAATTTAATAAAACTTAATGTCCCACAATATATTTGGTTTAGGATGACTGAAGGAAGGGTGCAGCAATTCTGAGGAATACAAAGACATTTTTGAGAGAAGAAAAGGAACAATTTCTTCTATGGGGTTCGTGGTGGAAGGCATGAGAATTGATGGGCTTCAGTGCAGCGGGTTGGACATAAAGAAAAATGTTCCACTTGTCAGAACAGTGAAATATTGGTAGGGGGGAAAAGCCCGTGGAAGTTGCAATAAAAATTTAGATGTGGTTAACTTTTTCCTTGAAAAATAGGGATGAACTGGATTGACTTTTAAAGCTTCTCCCAGCCTTTTTTCAGGGAGCCTGTAGTGGGTACCATAGCTGTCAAATTTATCACAAACTTCCTAAATCTTATTTGGGTTATCTTTTACCCCTGCTCAGCCAATGTCTCTGAACTTCATATAGTGCATCAGTCTAATGCCCTTACATCCAAAAAAAATGTATTCTACATGTAATTTCAAGGGGAAAAGTCACTATCTATCATCTTCTTTTTAGGTCCTCCAGGGAAAAGAGGTAAGCGGGGAAGAAGAGGAGAGACTGGTAAGTGTTTAATTTCATAAGATCTGTTGTCATTTGGTGTCTGTTTTTGTGAGGATGCATACCCAGCATGCCTTGATTTTTAGTTGTAATGCATGTGTGCTCTGATAAAAGAAATCTGAAACTTCTCTGGTGAAATGTTGTGACCCTTGGCATGTATCTGGTGGCCTTCCAGATATTTCTCAAGTCTTGGGCACCCTTAATTTGCAGGCACACTTCATAACGCTCGACGCGGTGCCTTTGGTAACAGGTCTGTAACTGTCAAGGCCTTCAGGGGTGTTCTCACACATGCACAAGTTAGAATAACTCCATGTAAGTCAGTAGTTGGAATACTGTGTCAGTGTTACATCAGGCCCCTTTGGTTGGAGGAGAACAATTTTATAAGGAAATAACAAAGGAAATAAAATTCCTTGTATGGAGAATGTTGATAATCAGGGATGTATCTGTGTGAGAGAAGTTATTTTATAGAAATGAGCAGTTAAGTTCTAACAGAAATAAGAAAAACATTTGTTGGTTCGTTACCCTATACCAGGGAGGTTGCTGTTGATAGAAACCTGCTGCTGGTGTGGCTTGAAATTGCATTTGAGGCAAAGTTTTGAGATGCTGAGCACCTCTTGCTGTTGACATTCACAGGAATTGAATCAATTACCTTGTGGGATTGAGTTTTTCATCAAGGTGAACTTTCTGAAGGCAATGCAGTAGAAAATGAGCGTTTCTATTCTCCTTGGCTGTCTTGTCTAATCTGCCAGCTAAGAAAGTCTTCCAATCAACTTGATCTCTGTAAATCTTCTGTAGCCTTTCTCATCTATGTAAATGATAATTTATCTGGCTCTTAAAAACTATTTCCATATCTTCCTGAATCACAAAACTAAACCCAAGCCCTGCCAAAAATTGATACAAATCACCTTTGTGTTTCCATTCAGTGCTGTCTTGGTATCTACTTCAGAGAAAGAGGCTATGATACAGAGGGAAATTCTGTGGTTGAAGATTGAGTTACAAATGATCCTGGAAATTACTTTGTGGGATGCTCATTGATTCATTTTAGATCTCAAATAAACACATGGTAAACCATTAATAAAAGAAACGGATCTCTCATTTAAAAACAGACGTGCACCTTAAAATGCTGTTTAAGAATGTTTGCCAGAATAAAGAAATTACCTTAGCTGCTGGACAATAAAAGTTGCATTGTTAAAACCAAAAGGCTGTCAGTATTAAAAGCAATCTCAAAGTACAGCTGCTGCTGTTTTATACTCCTTTTGCACTTCGCTTTATTCAGAAATTAGAGAGAGGCATAAAAGCTTAATGAAATGCCATTGATTTGGGAGCTGCAGCTGCTCACCTTAATAAGACTGAAATAGTAGATTTGATTTGTGGCCCTTTGATAATGTTTCCAAGAACTGCTACACGAAAGTCTTTGAGGTCTGAATAATTGAAAAAATGTGCAAATATCGCTTCACGAAGTGTGACATTTTAATGGGGAACATTTTATAAGTGTGCCTTGAGAGAGGAAAGAGATGAAAATAAAGTTCAGCACTGTCAGGTGGCCACTGAAACCTCCCCTCACAGGCAAAGTTGGAAGTCTGGAAGATGCTGGTACATGTATTCTTGAAAAGATGCCCAGGTTAAATGCCAAGGGTACTTTGTGCAATTCTGCAGCCAAGCTCTGATCCGGTGCTCACTGTGTGGTTAAGTGAAACTGGTGGTGTGGTTATATGTGCTTTATGTGGAGCCTGACAAAATGAATTGTATCCATGGCTGGTATTTTTGGACTGGCATGAAATTGCATGGAAATAAATGGAGAAGCAACTTTCATAAGATTGCATGACTGTAATCGAAGATTTGTTAAGGTAAGTGCATGCATTTAGGCAGTAGTCATATTCACAAGTTTCAGAGCACTGCCAAAGCACAAGATTACTTAAGTGGGAAAAGGTGTGCCCTGAATTACCAGTGCTGCTCACTGACAATCCCAAGGCCTTGTGCTTGACTGTGTGTGTCTTTCTTCAGTAACTTCATAAGCTTACGTGTTCTTTCTTCTCTTTTTTTACCCTTTTCCCCTCTCCCCCACCCCACAGGACCTCCTGTAAGTACAGTGATACATTGTTGGTTCTTCCAGAATCAGACAGAAATCTGTTAGATCCTGTTAATTATCAGCATAATAAGATGATCATGTATACTCAAGAGGGAATTTTGGTATTTATACATACACAATATCTTGGAGCTGAATAACTTAATCAGAAAGTTTGTTAAGAAAAGAGTCTCTAAACCAGTAAAGCTTTATGTTCAGCGCTCCAGATTGCCATTTGGATTCACAACTCCATGTAAGTATGTTGTCTTCATTTTGCCTGTGACTTCATAACAGATACTTTACTGAAGTATAAAAAATGTGTGAGTATCCTATCTTAAACTCAGACCTGGCCACTTTTGCTGGGTAGTAACTTCCTCTGCATTTTTCACGGAGTCTTGGGGGTACGGGCTCCCTGTTCTTTAGAGGCATAGAGACTGTTCAGCTCATTTCACTGTAATTGCTACTGAAGCTAATAAGTGCTTGTGTAAAATTATTATTAAATAGTGCTATTCCATTTAGTAAGTCAATTGAATCTTGTGCTAATTCTTCTTGTGAGAAAATGTTTTATTTCTTCTGAGGTTTTGAGGTTGTTTTGTTTTTTGCTTGGGTTTTTTTGTATGTCTTTTGTTTGCTTTTTTGTATATTCCCAGAGTAGGTCAAAAGTCTGACTTGAAGGACAGGTCTAAGCACATATGTCTCAAACCTTTGTATCTGTCATGCCATCCATGTGCATCATCTGGTGTAGGAATGTGACTGTTAAAATAGTATTTCTTTTACAGTTAGAAGCCTTCTATGTTTTTTTCCTTAATAGGTGAAATATTTCTACAATATTTTCAAGACCCTATCATCTGGCTATTCTGTGTTACATGCATGTTTAAGAATATTTAATTAATGTGTTGAATTCCTGCTGTGACCTAAAGATTTTACTGTAAACTGCATATATTGAGTCATGATATTACTTACCATTTTAAGACTTTGACCATGTGCTCAGCAGTTCATAGTGATAAATTCATTTAACAAGCCATCAATGAAAAGCCAGGCTTAATGCATAAAGGTGCTGTTTATTTGAGAGAAACAGTTTTCTCCAATATCTTTTGCAGTCCTCCTGTGAAACGCAAAGAGCAAACATAAATAATGATACAAGCTATTTTCCAATACCAAAGCAATGTGGCAAGAGGTTATGCCTCATTAAGAATGTCTCTGACTTTAGCTCCTCACTGTTTCAGTATAGGTACATTAAAAAAACCCAAACAAACAATCCCCTAAAAATAAGTTGTAATCGTGGCAATATTAGCACAAACCTGAAATAGGTTCCAAAATGGAATAATTTTAAGAAGTAGTGACTTTAAATTCCAAGTTTCATACTTGAAACCAACAAAACTTCATCTTGCTGACAGGCAGCAATGGTTTAGGTTGTTACAAGGCATAAAAAAGTGTAGTTTCTCTTCCTAATTAATTACTATTTGCATAGACACAAATTAATGTCTATTTGCAGAGACACTGGCTAGGGGCAAGCGTTGTGAACCTAAGTATTGTTTTCACCTGGGAGACTGTGGTAGTAGTTTTCATTTAAAATACCAAATATTTGTATATCCCACATTAAACTGGAGAGTTAGGTGTATGTTGTACTTTCAAAGGCTGCCACAGTTGCTCTGTTTATTTCCTTTGTACATGACTACTGAGTGGCACACTCAGTAATAGCAGTGAGAGACTGGGGATTTTGAATATTTTTATGATCTTTTACAGCAGTCTCAGATTTCTTTTTTGCCATTAATGTTCTAGTGGAATCTAATACTTTATTGCCTAAGCACTAAACTTTTTTTTTTTGTATTAACTATATATTGCCTGTCAATTTACATGGATAATTTTCTTCATAAAAAACCAGAATTTCACTAGGCATCAGAAGTAGCCAGTAGCTTTTTAGTCAGAGTGTTTATATAAGTTGAAACACATAATTTCTATTGCTAAAGCCTCATTTCTTCACTGTGTAGTACCTAACTAATATTCCTTGGTTTGAAATATCATCACATCCAAAAAAGTCAAGAAATACACAAATTATTATTTCCTGATAATGTACTCTGCATGTTTGTTATGTCATATGTCATGACTGTGTTGTTAATGTGTCATACCATTTCATCTCATTCAACCAGGGTCCACCAGGGCGAAATGGCTATCCGGTAACTCATCATATATTTATGATAGCAGTTTATGGTTACTCTGAAATCCTGTTGGTGTATTTTGGTTTCTCTTTATTACTGTCAAAAGGACCCTTTTTTTTTTTTTTTTTTTTTTTTTTTTTTTTTTTTTTTTTTTTTTTTTTTTTTTTTTTTTTTTTTTTTTTGGTTTTTTTTTTTGTTTTGTTTTGTTTTGGTTTTTTTTTTTTTTTGTTTTGTTTTGTTTTGTTTTGTTTCTCACATGTCTGGAAAATGCAGGATTTCCCTTTAAAAACAAAGCAAAATAAAAAGCCTGTGACAAGTTTCTGAAAAGAACCAGACTATTTACAATGCATAAATGAGATGCACTGATTGATGTTGTACATATTTTGTTTCAGTTGCTTCGTTCTTGCATACAAAATTCATAATTAATTAATTTAAAAAACTTGCTAAGATACTGCATCTCAATTTTCCATATTAGAAAGCTGTAGTGTTGCCATATGGAACCTCTGAGTCCTTTCTTTTAATTCTCTCCTGTTTCATTTGACTGTTGTTCAATGCATTTTGAGCAAAGTAAAGTGTTACGACAGAGGTCCTAGCAATTGGCAGCAGTGACTATCACAGAGTAATTTTTGATAATGGATACAATTCATTTTTCTGTCCATTTCATTCATATCTTTAGGATTTATTGCCTGAAAAAAATCTATATGAAATAATGCATCTTTCTAAAATCTATTAATAATACATTTCTTTCTAGTAGTCAGGCAAACTGTCTGCAGTGTCCCATTCATTGAAAGAAGTATATGCCTGCTGTCACATGGGTATTAGAAACCAAGTGACTAAATGTGATAATATATGTGCACAACAGAGTGACTGTTGACATATAGTAATGCTTTATTTATAGCACTTGATAGCGTAGCTTAAAAGACCCTCCCAGATTGATTTGCCTGTGTTTTTCAGACAAAATATACGTAATTTTACGTAATACATGTAAAAAAAAAGTTTCCATTGGTCAAATATAAATTGTGTGCCTTGAGCACCTGCAATTAGAGGAGAATTTTGTAGAATCACAGACTCTCAAAATGGTTTGGGTGAGAAAGGAAATTATTGGATCATTTAGTTCCAATAACTCTGCCATGGGCAGGGACACCTTCCACTAGACCAGGTTGCTCAAATCCATCCAGCCTGGGCTTGAACACTTAGAGGGATTGAGAACACTTCTAAGGATGAATCATCCATAGCTTTTCTGGACAATCTGTTCCAGTATTTCACCACTCTCATAATTTAAAAATTCTTTCATATATCCAATATAAACTTTCTTTTAGTTAAAAGTCATTACCCCTTGTCCTGTCACTACAGACCTTGGTAAAAAAAAAAGTCTATTTCTCCACACCTTTTTTCAGGCCCTCTTTCAGTATTGAAAGTCTGCAGTAAAGTCTCCCTGGAGCCTTTTCTGAAAAACCCCAAATTTCTCAGCCTGTCTACATAGAAGAGCTGCTCCATCCCTTTGATCATCTCTGTGGTCCTCTGGACTTGCTCCAACAGGTCCATGTGTTTTCTGACACTGTAGGCCCCAAAGGTGGGCACAGTAGTCCAGATGGGGTCTCACGAGAGTGGAGCAGAGAGGGTGATGTCCCTTGACTGCTGGCAGCACTTCATTTGATGCAGTCTATTTCAATGCCATTACCTGGGCAGGCTCTGGAATTCCAGAGTGGTGTCACCAATGGATCATCATCCACTGTCCATCTTTACAATTACAAGTAGTTGTAAGTCACCTGGTGAGGAGCTGATCATCAGTATCAAGAAACCTGCTTGGATGTGCTAAAACCATTATCAGGTTTCTGAGTTCACATTCCAGTTTCTCTTAGAGTGATTGATCTGTATAGGTGAGTAGGAGTTTGTTTTCTTGAAGAGATTTGTTGTGGGATCTGAAAACAATGAAGGTACTTCAGAGCCATGGTATTGAAATTGCTGTGTCTAATGATGTTGTAATGGGCTTAGTCTGAATGCATTTCTCTTCATGTGTGATGTGGTCTGTCACTAGTGCTTAGCACTTGATTGAGTGCTGCTTCTTCCTGCTTGAAAATGACTGGGTATAAAATTCGGCTTTGCTTCCTTTGGCTGAATGTTTCAATCTTTTTAGTCACAGTCATACTCTCCTGCTTTGAATGGGAAATATGTAACTTCAAGTGCCGTGTACTTTAAAGTACTTTTACAGCCCTGTAGAGGTCTATTAGAAGGCTGTTAGTGTTCTAAGTTATTTCTCCAGAGTCTTATTTAGCTCCTGTAGAAAGCTTTTTACTTAAATATGTATTGGATTTTATGGGATAGTCTGTGAGGATAGTGAGGTATATCTGCCACATGTAACCTAAACCTGGTGTAGCTCTCTCACAAAGGCAAGTGGCTCTTTTCTCCAAGGCTTGCATTTTCTTTGAATGTGTTCATTCTAGTTTTTAAAGATACTTCAAGAATAATTATAACAGTGAAAGGAATTACAGTCAGAAATCTAAGTTCCCAGGAAGACACAGCATCAAAAATCAATAAAATAAGGGGTTTACTGCTAATGAGTAACACAGTTATTGAGGGGTTTATAAAACCACAACTAACTGGTTATTATTAAAGGCACGAGTAATACTAAAGAAGTGTACGACTCCTTTTTTTTTCTCATAAGCTTTGTATAACAGACAGTGACCAAATTCAGAGTCGTGACTCTTTAAGCTTGAGTTTAAAATTGAAATAGACTATCACAGCTACTCAAATAAAAGAGGGAAAAGAGTGCGCAAGCATTGGAGAATGAGATGACAGGTAGCTTTTGCAGACTTTTTGTATGACAGTTTCACTTTTTAAATAATGCTAGAACTTGGAAGAAAGTACACACACACACATCCCCTAAAGATAACCCACACCAAACCCTCTACCCCAAAATTTCCCAGCCGCTAAAACCAAAAAATCATCTTGTGAATATGGTGAGGAGGCCAAATACACAAACTGTGGGGTTTTGTGAAACTCTATAGGTTAAATTGGTAGCAGATTTTTACTGTTTTCCATTGAAAAACTGAAGCAAACAGAATTTTTTTCCCTATCAGTTTTCCCAAACTGGGCAAGATCAAGCTCAGCATCCAGGCAGACCATCCTGGAAGTTGCCTCGTGTGTGGTCGCAAAGCTTCACTTCTTCATTAAGTTTCAGAATATGGAAATACCCACAGAGTATTTCTCCATAAACAGAGAAATTTCTCCTTCCTCTCTCCATGACAGTCAGTCTGCAGAGCATTTTATGCATTTACAAGACTTTCAGGAGCCACGGAGGGTCATGGCTGCTGCAGGTGACCATGTGCCTTGTATTAAATGCCATTTCTTCTAACATCCTTGTTTCATCTTCAAGAAACACAGACAGATTCCTCTCCTGAAGGAAATAGTGTCTAAATTGGAGATTGTGCTTCTGTAAGTGTCAATTATCGTCAATTGATAAAACCTGAAATGTAGATCTTCGAAATTTCACCTGTCAATTTAAATTTTCCTAGCTCTAAAAAGACTTGCCTCAAGATAGCAAAGGGGCAAAGCTTATGACTGCAGGTAGAAAATAATTTCAATTATTCTGTAGCCTGATATAATTCCTTCTAGATTACAGAATGTCTCTGTCATCACACTTCTGATCTTTACACCCATGAAAACTTGTCCCAATGTACTATGAGAAAAGCTGTTATCCTGATATGTAAGGTATTTCAGGTTGCTGTTATAAGTCTCTGATTTTTTCCTCACCTCATTTCTGTTCCTATATGAACAAGGCAAAGAGAATTCCAGGTAGAACAGTGAAGGGCATTTGAGTTAGAAGAAATAGGCCTGCTGGGGAACAACATGAAAACCACCCTTGTGAGAAATTGGTAAAAGGCTTTTTTTAATCCTGCTGTGTTGCTTTGTCTTTGATGGTGATATTTTGTTTTCTTCTGTGTCTCCAGTTAGAGATTGGGGCTGCCTAGGCAAATGTGTAACAAGTAGCAATGTCTCTGGATATACATAAAATTAATCTCAGCCAAGTGCAAGTTTTTCAACCTCAATGATACAATGGCGACTCAGTTGCTATCAAACAAATATAATTGGAATAATCAAAAGAGAAGAAATAAGCAAAGATTGTGCATTTTTCATCTGTGATTAAACATAGCCTATGGCAATGTTAAGCATTTTTGCAACAGTTGTTGTATTTCTAATAGCTGGTCAGATCTCCTCTTTTTCAGAATCATACAAAAATATAAATGTCTAAGCTCAAGGAGCAACTATCTCAATTCCTGACCTTACCCTGAGCATTTGGCTTGGTGATCCTATAGAAATTTCCCACTTCACAGCAATTTTTTTTCTTTCTCAACAGGTGTCTTCACAGACCACCTTTTATTTCTGGCATTTGCCCAAAGTAACTCTTAGGCATATGGCAGCAAAACTTTTGCAATAAATTTCAGGTTTGGTAGTGAAGCACTATTTCAGGTTTTACTTTTTTTTTTTTTCCCCCCTTTTAAATGAACAGAAAATTCAAAACATACGAGTCTCAACAGCTTCTTTGTACTGTGATTTTAGTATGTGTTTTCTCAGTTTATATGCTTTATCCTTGTATTCTGTCACAACAGAGGGGATTGGCTTAGGAGACATGAGGTTTTCAGTTGATCCATTTGCCTCAGACTCCTTGCTTGTTCCAAGGGAGTGGAAAGAGATAGGAGTGGTCAGCTGTCCATCTTAAAAGATAGCTGGGTTTACAGATTTCTTTGTTTAGAACAACACAGAATAACAGTATCCTGAACAAACCTCAACACTGTTCCCAAATAGATGCTAAAGGTTGAACAAGTGCAGTGTTAAACTTGCTGCCATGCAGGTTAACTTTGTAATATTTCTGTGCCATGAGAGGCAGAGGAAGGTTGTAAAAATGTGGTAAGTTTTGTAAGCATAGTGTAGCTGAGGACACATGATACTGTTCAGAAAATAAACTTCCAGTTCTTCCTAGAAATTGTGGGAGGATCTCTAGATCTGCATGGCTAAGT